TTCCCCGTATTTATTTCTGCTATTGTGATTTGCCGAGAAGATTCGTTTTGAGTTTCGGAGTGTCTTTGGACACTTAGTCCCTAAATGAGAGCTTAAGCTTTAGAATTTGGACCGTAGTCAGAACAGTGTATAGACGGCCTCGGAATGAAATTCCGTTGATTCCGTTAGCTCCATTGGGTGATTTTGGCTTAGGGGCGTGTTCGGAGTGTGTTTTGGAGGTACGTAGCTTATTTAGGCTTGAAATGCCGAAAGTTGAATTTTTGAAGTTTCCGGATCGACAGTGAAATTTTGATATCGGGGTCGGAATCAAATTCTGAAAGTTGGAATAGTTTCGTAGTGTTGAATGTGACTTGTGTGCAAAATTTGGGGTCAATTGGACATGGTTTCGTTGGTTTCGGCATCGGTTGTGGAATTCTTGGGATTTCAAGTTCATTAGGCATGGATTGGATGGTGATTCATTAGGGTTCAACTAAGTTTTTATGATGTTTTAGGATTGGTTGGCATGTTTGGTTGAGGTCCCGGGAGGCTCAGGTGAGTTTCGGATTCTTAACGGAATTGGATTTGGACTTAGGCAATTTTCTGAACTTGCTGAACCTGTTGGTTTCGCACCTGCGGAGCTTGGACCGCAAGTGCGGCGCCGCAGAAGCGGTTTGGCAATCGCAGATACGGTCTAAGGCATAAGGGCAGTTGGTCGCAGATGCGGCTCAAGGATCGCAGAAGCGGAACCACATCTGCGAGGTGAGGAGCGCAGGTGCGGAATCTGGTGATTTAATGAAATTCGGCAGGTGCAGAGAATGAGCCGCAGGAGCGGGACTGCAAGTGCGGTGGACTCCTCGCAGAAGCGGAAATCGCAAGGCAGAAAAGAGTGAAATCGAGGGTTTTAATTCATAACTTATAAAATTGATTTTGAGCTCGGTCGAAGGCGATTTCTTGAGAGATTTCGAAGGAGAACTATTGGGTAATGAATTCTAACTCTAATTTGGTTCTAATACATTAATCTATTGTTATTTTTCTCATCTAAGTAATTTGAGGGTAGAAGTTTGGAAATGGGGGAAAAAGTTCCCCAATGGAAAATTTGAGTTTTGAATACGAATTTGACGTCAGATTGAGAAGATTTTTGTACGAGTGAACTCGTGAGTGATTAAGTGTTTATAATCCGTAACTTTTACCCGATTACGAGATGTGGTCCCGAGGAGGATTTTTGGGCGTTTTTCTATTTTCTTGCCTTAGCTTCGATTCCTTTAGCTAAACTAGTTGTTTGTAGTTATATTTACATTATGAACTTGATTTTGATTAGATTTGCGCTACTCGGAGTTGGATACTCGTGGCAAGAGCGTGATTTCGGATTGATTGAGCTTGGTTCGAGGTAAGTGGCTTGCCTAACCTTGTGTGGGGGAACTACCATTAGGACTTTGGTACTGTTATTATATGAATGCCGTGTACGTGAGGTGACAAGTGCGTACATGTGCTAATTGTTGAAAAACCTCGTTTTCATTAAGTAAATATCTGTGTTTTCTTTTAATTGAGCAATACTTGTATTTGAAGTTCCTGTTTAGCTTAGGAAAGCATGCCTATGTGATTTAACTGTCTTATCTGCCTAACTGCTTACTTGGATTCTGTGTAGCATGTTTAGAGTAGAATTTCCTGTTTCTCGATACGAACTTGAATAGAATTGTAGATTTCTTTCTTGAGATTGTTGTGTGTTTACTTAGGGACTACGGGACGATATCCCAGGATTTCCCCCCTGCATATTTACTTTGGGACTGCGGACCGGTATTTCGGGAGATCCCCTGCGCATTTATATTTGGTACTACGGGACGGTATCCCTGGATATCTCCATGTACTAGATATTTACTTTGGGACTACGGATCGATATTCCGGGAGATCTCCTGCACATCTACGTTTGGGACTATAGGACGGTATCCCGGGAGATCCCCTGTTGTTTTTCTCCATGTACTGAGTTATTTCTTTCTGTGAATTTATCTTTATTGGCTATTAGCATCTTTAAATATACTATCACATTTCATACTTTTTTTACCTTGTTATATATATAACCAGTAGGGCCCTGACCTTCCTCGTCGCTACTTGACCGAGGTTAGGCTTGGCACTTACTGGGTACCGCTGTGGTGTACTCATGCCCTTTCTTGCACATGTTTTTTCGTGTGCACATCTAGGTTCTTCTGCTCAGCCATACTATCTGTGAGGCGAGACGACCTAGAGACTTCAAGCTATATCTGCCGCGTCCGCAGACCTAGAAGTCCCTCTCTATTCTCCCTTTAGTTGTAGACTTCTTGTATTTCCTATTGTTTAGACTTCTGGAGTTAGAACACTATGTACCTTCTTTAGCTAGTGGTTCATGAGATTCCGGGTTTTGGGAGTGTTCGGTGTTCAGTTTGAGAGAGTGATATTGTATATGCCGAGCAGCATTTTAAACTTCTTTATTATGTTACTCGTAAATTGCTAGTTTCGAATCTTTATTTCCTTTTTCCGCAAATTGTTAGGCTTACCTAGTCGTAGAGACTAGGTGCCATCACAATCGTTCATGGAGGCAGAACTTGGGTCGTGACAAGTTGGTATCAGAGCTCTAGGTTCATAGGATCATGAATCACAAGCCGGTTTATTAGAGTCTCGCGGATCGGTACAGAGACGTTTGTACTTATCTACGAGAGGTTATGTAATTGTTAGGAAAATTCCACTTCATTTGATTTCCTTGTCATGCAAGATTTTTGATATCAAAATTCTAAACCTCTGTCTTCTATTCTCTCAAAGATGGTGAGGACACGAGCAATAGGAGATGATCAAACACCCGCGCCCCCTGCTCGAGCCATCAGAGGTCGGGGCCGGGGTAGAGGCCGAGGACGCGCACGTGGTGCAGCCAGAGCACCCACACGAGCTACTACAGAGGAGCCACCAGCAGCTCCAGCCAGAGCCCAGACGCTTGATACGCCTACTGCTACTACTACTCCAGATCTCCAGGAGACCCTTGCACAGTTCATGAGCATGTACACCACTTTAGCTTAGGCAGGGTTGATTCCCCTTACTGCAGCTACATCTCAGGCCGGGGGAGGAGCACAGACTCCCGCCGCCCGCACTCCTGAGTAGCGAGTGCAGGTTGATCAGGTCCTCGAGATTATACTGGTACCGCCTGTAGCCCCAGTTCAGCCCGAGGATAGGGCAGTAGCTTCAGAGGAGGAGCAGCGGAGGCTTGAGAGGTTCAAGAAATACCAGCCTCCTACATTCAGTGGTCTAGCATCAGAGGATGCTCAGGGATTTCTAGAGGAGTGCCACTGTATCCTCCGCACTATGGGGTATATCAGGATCGAGTGGGGTTTCTTTCACTGCCTTCCAGCTTCGAGGAGCAACCTATCAGTGGTGGCGTACTTTTGAGTTGGACAGTCCGGCTGAGGCAGCTTCCCTTACATGGAGTCAGTTTTCAGATATGTTCTTGAGAGAGTATGTCCCTCAGAGCCTTAGGGACGCATGGCGCGCGGAGTTTGAGCATTTGCGCCAGGGTTTTATGACTGTTTCGGAGTATGCTGTACGTTTCAGTGACTTGGCTAGGCATGCACCGGCCTTGGTTTCTATAGTTCGTGAGAGAGTTCGCCAGTTTATTGAGGGGCTTATTCCCAGCATCAGATCGAGCATGGCCCAGGAGTTGGAGATGGATATTGCTTATCATCAGGTGGTGAGCATTGCTAGGAGAGTAGAGGGCATGCATGCTCGGGATAGAGAGGAGAGAGAGGCCAAGAGGTCTCGAGAGTCGAGCCATTATTTTGGTGCCCGTGCCCCAGCTGTAGTTCGTCATGATAGGGGTTATATGAGTTGCCCCGTTCATTCAACTCTTCCAGCAGCCAGTGGTATTCCAGCTCCTTCTAGACCTCAGGAACCTTATTATGTACCTCCAGTATCTAGTGCGCCTCCTGCACGGGGTGCTTTCAGTGGTCAGTCTAGCAGACCTGGCCCGAGCCAGTCACAGCCGCCACGTCCTCCCAGAGCTTGTTTTGAGTGTGGTGACACATACCATATGGTGAGGGATTTCCCTAGACTTAGGAGGGGTGCACCTCCGTAGACTTCTCAGCCACAGCGCTCCGTAGAGTTCCCAAGCTATGATTACAGCACCAGTTGCTACCTCACCTGCCCAGCCAGCTAGAGGTGGAGGTCGGGGAGGTAGAGGTCTCCCTAGAGGGGGAGGCCAGGCCAGATACTATGCCCTTCCTGCTCATACCGAGGTTGTTGTCTCTGATTCTGTCATCACAGGTGTTGTTCCGGTCTGTCATAGAGAGGCATCGGTTCTATTCGATCTAGGCTCCACTCATTCTTATGTGTCCTCTTATTTTTCCTCGCATTTGGGCGTATCTCGGGATTCTTTGAGCTCCCCTGTTTATGTTTCTACTCCAGTAGGAGATTCTCTTATTGTGGACCGCGTTTATCGGTCGTGTTTGATTACTCTTAGTGGTTTTGAGATCAGAGCTGATTTGTTATTGCTCAGCATGGTAGATTTTGATGTTATCTTGGGCATGCACTGGTTGTCGCCCCATTATGCTATTCTTGATTGTCACGCCAAAATCGTGACACTGGCTATGCCAGGTGTACCGCGAGTATAGTGGAGGGGTACCTTAGATCACACTTCTAATAGAGTTATTTCATTTGTTAAAGCTCGGCGAATGGTTGAGAAGGGGTGTGATGCGTATCTAGCTTATGTGAGAGATGTCGGTATTGATACTCCTATAGTTGATTCAGTCCTAATAGTACGGGATTTCTCTGATGTGTTCCCAGCTAATCTTCCAGGCATGTCTCCCGATAAATATATTAACTTTGGCATTGATTTGTTGTCGAGCACTCAGCCCATTTCTATTCCTCCTTACCGTATAGCTCCTCCTGAGTTGAAGGAGTTGAAGGAGCAGTTGCAGGAATTGCTTGATAAGGGCTTTATTCGGCCCAGTGTATCACCTTGGGGTGCTCCTATCTTGTTTGTGAAGAAGAAGGATGGTTCTATGCATATGTGCATTGATTACCGCCAATTGAATAAAGATACAGTGAAGAACCGGTATCCTTTGCCTCGTATTGATAACCTGTTTGATCAGTTACAGGGTGCTCGTGTTCTTTCTAAGATTGACTTGCGTTCAGGTTATCATCAGTTGAAGATTCGGGAGCCAGATATCCCGAAGACTGCTTTCAGGACTCGGTATGGTCATTACGAGTTCCTTGTTATGTCATTTGGGCTGACCAATGCCCCAGCAGCATTTATGCATTTGATGCACAGTGTATTCCGGCCATATCTTGACTCGTTCGTCATTGTCTTTATTGATGACATTCTGGTATACTCCCGGAGTCGGGAAGATCATGAGCAGCACCTGAAGAAAGTGCTTCAAACTTTGAGAGAAAAGAAGTTATATGCGAAGTTCTCGAAATGTGAGTTCTGGTTGGATTCCGTGGTATTCTTGGGTCACGTAGTATCGAATGAGGGGATCAAGGTGGATCCGAAGAAAGTGGATGCAGTTCAGAGTTAGCCCACACCATCCTCAGCTACGGAGATCCGTAGTTTTCTTGGCTTGGCGGGTTATTACCGTCAGTTTGTTGAGGGATTTTCATCTATTGCAGCACCTATGACCAGGCTAACCTAGAAGGGTGCTCCGTTCAGGTGGACAGAGGAGTGTGAGGAGAGATTTCAAAAGCTCAAGACAGCTTTGACTACAGCCCCATTGTCTATAGGTTCGGGGTCTTATACTGTCTATTGTGATGCCTCGAGGATTGGCCTTGGAGTGGTATTGATGCAGGACGGTAGGGTGATTGCCTACGCGTCCAGAGAGCTGAAGGTGCATGAGAAGAATTATCCTGTCCATGATCTCGAGTTAGCTGTTATTGTTCATGCCCTGAAGATCTGGCATCATTATTTGTACGGTGTTCCTTGTGAGATCTACACTGATCACTGGAGTTTGCAACACTGTTCAAGCAGAAGGACCTTAATTTGCACTAGAGGAGGTGGTTAGAGCTGCTGAAGGACTATGATATCACTATCTTGTATCACCGGGCAAGGCCAATATGGTGGCTGATGCTTTGAGTCGCCGGGTGAGTTTGGGGAGTTTGGCTTATATACCAGTAGCGGAGAGGCCCATGGCGATGGATGTTCAGGCCTTAGCCAGCCAGTTTATGAGATTGGATCTTTTGGAGCCCAGTTGGGTCCTTGCTTGTATGGTTTCTCGGTCTTCCTTGTTTGATCGTATCAGAGAGCGTCAGTATGATGACCCTCATTTGCTTGTCCTCAAGGACAAGTTTCTACATGGAGATGCCAGAGATGTGACCATTGGTGATGACGGGGTATTGAGGATGCAGAATTGGATATGTGTGCCCAATGTTGATGGGCTTCAGGAGTTGATTCTAGAGGAGGCCCACAATTCGCAGTATTCCATCCATCCGGGTGCCGTGAAGATGTACCAGGATTTGAGGCAGCACAATTGGTGGAGGAGGATGAAGAAGGATATAGTTGGGTTTGTAGCTCGGTGCCTCAATTGTCAGCAGGTAAAGTATGAGCACCAGAGACTGTGTGGCTTGCTTTAGAAGATAGAGATTCCGGAGTGAAAGTGGGAGCGGATCACCATTGACTTCGTGGTTGGACTTCCACGGACCTTGTGGAAGTTCGATGCCAAATGGGTGATTGTGGATCGGCTAACCAAGTCCACACACTTCATTCCTATGTGTACTACCTACTCTTCAGAGCGGTTGGCTGAGATTTATATTTGGGAGATTGTTCGTCTGCATGATATTCCAGTTTCCATCATTTCAGATAGAGGTACTCAGTTCACATCACGGTTCTGGAGGGCCGTACAGCATGAGTTGGGTACTCGGTGGAGTTGAGCACATCATTTCACCCCTAGACAGACGGACAGTCCGAGTGCACTATTCAGATTCTTGAGGATATTCTCTGTGCGTGTGTGATGGTGTTTGGAGGTTCTTGAGACCAGTTCTTGCCACTGGCGGAGTTTGCCTACAAGCATTCAGATGGCACCATATGAGGCTCTGTATGGTAGGCGGTGTAGATCCCCGGTGGGTTGGTTTGAGCCGGGCGAGACTAGATTATTGGGCACAGACTTGGTTTAGGACGCTTTGGAGAAGATTAAGGTGATTCAGGATAGACTCCGCACAGCCCAGTCCAGACAGAAGAGCTATGCGGACCGGAAGGTTCGCGATGTTTCATTTATGGTTGGAGAGCGGGTCTTGCTTCGGGTTTCACCTATGAAGGGCGTTATGAGATTTGGGAAGAAGGGGAAATTGAGTCCGAGATTTATTGGTCCTTTTGAGGTAATGCGACGTGCTGGGGAGGTTGCTTATGAGCTTGCCTTACCTCCCAGCTTGGCAGGAGTTCATCCGGTATTTCATGTTTCGATGCTCCGGAGGTATCACGGTGACCCGTCACATGTGTTGGATTTCAGTTCAGTCCAGTTGGACAAGGATCTATCTTATGTTGAGGATCCAGTGGCTATATTGGACAGGCAGGTTTGAAAGCTGAGGTCAAAGAGCATTGCATCAGTAAAGGTTCTGTGGTGGGGTCAGCCGGTCGAGGAGGCGACTTAGGAGACCGAGCGGGACATGCGCAGCCGTTACCCTCATCTTTTCACCACTTCAGGGATGTCTCTATGCTCATTCGAGGATGAACGAATGTTGTAAGAGGGGGAGGATGTAACGACCCAGCCGGTCGTTTTGAGAATTAGCGCCCTGATCCCATATTAACTATTTTCTCCGTGTTTATTTCTGCTATTGTGATTTGCCGGGAAGATTCGTTTTGAGTTTCGGAGTGTTTTGGGACACTTAGTCCCTAAATGAGAGCTTAAGCTTTAGAATTTGGACTGTAGTCAGAAAGGTGTGAAGACGGCCTCGGAATGGAATTTCGTTGATTCTGTTAGCTCCGTTGGGTGATTTCGGGCTTAGGGGCGTGTTCGGAGTGTGTTTTGGAGGTCCGTAGTGTATTTAGGCTTGAAATGCCGAAAGTTAAATCTTTGAAGTTTTCGGATCGATAGTGAAATTTTGATATCGGAGTCGCAATCTGATTCTGAAAGTTGGAATAGTTCCGTAGTGTTGAATGTGACTTGTGTGCAAAATTTAGGGTCAATCAAACATGGTTTGGTTGGTTTCAGCATCGGTTGTAGAATTCTTGGGATTTCAAGTTCATTAGGCTTGGATTGGAGGGTGATTCGTGGTTTTAGCGTTGTTTGATGTGATTTGAGGGTTCAACTAAGTTCGTATGATGTTTTAGGATTGGTTGGCATGTTTGGTTGAGGTCCCGAGGGCCTCAGGTGAGTTTCAGATACTTAACGGAATTGGATTTGGACTTAGGCAATTTTCTGAACATGCTGAACCTGTTGGTTTTGCACCTGCAGAGCTTGGACCGCAGGTGCGGCGCCACAGAAGCGGTTTGGCAACCGCAGATGCAGTCTAAGGCATAAGGGCAGTTGGTCACAGACGCGGCTCAAGGACCGCAGAAGCGGAACCGTATCTATGAGGTGAGGAGGGCAGGTGCGGAATTTGGTGACTTAATAAAATTCCGCAGGTGCGGAGTATGAGCCACAGGAGCGGGACTGCAGGTGCGGTGGACCCCTCGCAGAAGCGAAAATCACAGGGCAGAAAAGAGTGAAATCGAGGGTTTTAATCATAACTTATAAAATTGATTTTGAGCTTGGTCGAAGGCGATTTCTTGAGAGATTTTGAAGGAGAACTATTGGGTAATGAATTCTAACTCTAATTTTGTTCTAATACATTAATCTATTGTTATTTTTCTCATCTAATTAAGTAATTTGAGGGTAGAAGTTTGGAAATGGGGGGAAAAGTTCCCCAATGGAAAATCTGAGTTTTGAATACGAATTTGACGTCGGATTGGGATGATTTTTGTACGAGTGAACTCTTGAGTGAATAAGTGTTCATAATCCGTAACTTTTACCCGATTCCGAGATGTGGGCCCTGGGAGGATTTTTGGGCATTTTTCTATTTTCTTGCCTTAGCTTCGATTCCTTTAGATAAACTAGTTGTTTGTCGTTATAATTACATAATGAACTTGATTTGATTAGATTTGGGCCACTCGTAGTTGGATACTCATGGCAAGAGCGTGATTTCGACTTGATTGAGCTTGGTTCGAGGTAAGTGGCTTGCCTAACCTTGTGGGGGAGAACTCCCCTTAGGACTTTGGTACTGTTGTTATATGAATGTCGTGTACATGAGGTGACGAGTGTGTACACGTGCTAATTGTTGAAAACCCCCATTTTCATTAAGTAAATATCTGTGTTTTCTTTTAAATGAGCAATACTTGTATTTGAAGTTCCTGTTTAGCTTAGGAAAGCATGCCTATGTGATTTAACTGTCTTATTTGCCTAACTTCTTACTTGGATTTTGTGTAGCATGTTTAGAGTAGAATTTCCTGTTTCTCGAAACGAACTTGAATAGAATTGTAGATTTCTTTCTTGAGACTGTTGTGTGTTTACTTAGGGACTATGGGACGATATCCCGGGAGGTCCCCCCTGCATATTTACTTTGGAACTACGGATCGATATTCCGGGAGATTCCCTGCGCATTTATATTTGGGAATACGGGACGGTATCCAGGGAGATTCCCCTGGACTGGATATTTACTTTGGGACTACGTATTCCGGGAGATCCCCTGCATATTTACGTTTGGGACTACGGGACGGTATCCCGGGAGATCCCCTGTTGTTTTTTTCCGTGTACTGAGTTATTTCTTTCTGTGATTTCATCTTTATTGGTTGTTAGCATCTTTAATTATACTGTCACATTTCATACTTTTTTTTACCTTGTAATATATATATATAACTAGTAGGGCCCTGACCTTCCTCTTCACTACTCGACCGAGGCTTGGCATTTACTGGATACCACTGTGGTGTACTCATGCCATTTCCTGCACATATTTTTTCGTGTGCAGATCCAGGTTCTTCTGGTCAGACATACTATCTGTGAGGCGAAGCGACCCAGAGACTTCGAGGTATATCTGCCGCGTCCGCAGACCTAGAAGTCCATCTCTATTCTCCCTTTATCTGTAGACTTCTTGTATTTCCTTTTGTTTAGTTCTTTAGCTTATGGTTCATGAGATTTTGGGTTTTGGGAGTGTTTGGTGTTCAGTTTGAGAGAGTGATATTGTATATGCCGAGCGGCATTTTAAACTTCTTTATTATGTTACCCATAAATTGCTAGTTTCGTATCTTTATTTTCTTTTTCCGCAAATTGTTAGGCTTACCTAGTTGTAGAGACTAGGTGCTGTCACGACCGTTCACGGAGGGAGAACTTGGGTCGTGACATATTGAGTCTTTCAATTCAGGAGAACCAATTAAGGTGTTCGAATTGGACACGGATTTGATTATTTCAAAAACTAATCAAAGAGAGGTTATGGCTGGTCAAGTATATAGGGATAAGGCTATATTGAAATAGGTGATGGAGCATTATGCAATATCTGAAAGATTTTAATTCCGGGTTGATAGGTCTAATGCTATCAGGTTTGAGCTTTTTTAAATACAACTTGTTAAACACCATGTTATATTCTAATGTATGGTTATGTATATTGAGTGTGAAATTGTATATTGTTTCCATGACAGAATACTTAAATTGTATTTAGATGTATCTTGAATTGTTTGGGTGTATTTAAATCACTTCAAATATTAAACATATAATAATTATTAATGTGCTTTTCAAATACATATATTCATTTGTATTTTACTAATGAATATTTACTACAGTGACTTTCACTGGTTGTTCTTGGATGTATTTATACGCATTTAATTGCATATATATAATTACAGCCGTATTCACAAGTATACTTGTGTATTTTGAGAATTTTTATAAATCGTATTCATGGTAGAATTTGTAAACTGTATTTAGATGTATTCAGATATGTTTGGATGTATTTTCATGACTTGCATTGGTGTACCTATGTATTTCGAACACATGTATTCATCTGTATTTTACTGTATTTAATAGATATTACAGTGGCTTTCGCTGTTTGTTTTTAGATGTATTTATACATATTTAAATGTATATATATAATTACAGTCTTATTCACATGTATATGTGTGTATTTTATAATAATGTATATATATATATGTAACAATGTATTCGCATGTATATTAATGAATTGTTAATCATTTATACTCATCGTATATATTGCGGAAAAATTATTTGCAACTATAAATTATTATGTATGTCAGAGGATTGTGAATGGAGGTTTAAGGCTTCTAGCATTAACAAATCACAAATGTTCAAAGTGAGAGAGTTCAATGATAAGCATACATTTCCGTTGAAGGATAAGGTGTATGAGCAACGTCAGGCAAGTAGCAGTCTTATCGGTGGTATGATTCGGTCCAAGCTTACTAATCATAAGAGGAAATACACCCCAAAGGATATAATTGATGATGTGAAATCAGATTTTGTTATAGATGTTAGCTACATGTTGGCGTGGCGGGCTAAAGAAAAGGCAATGAATTTTTTTAGAGGTGAACCGGTTGATTCATATAATAAATTACCAGGATACTTATATACAACGGATATGACATATCCTGTGTCGCACATTAGAATGGTAAAATCGCCAAAAAATGAGTTCATGTATGTGTATATATCTTTATGCCTTTATAAAGGGGTTCGATCATTGTAGACCCATTGTGGTAGTGGATGGAAGCCACCTAAAATTGTATTACACCGGGACATTCGTCTTGGCCAGCATGTTGGATGGTGCGGGCGAGTATGGGGATTATAATAAAATTTGTCAATATTAATGCCTATTAAAGATTGAAATATATATTTTTAATATGTATGTAATTGTCTTTACAGGTCATGTACTTCCACTAGCATATGGTGTTATTGATTCAGAGAACGATGCTGCTTGGTCGTGGTTCTTTGAGCAATTCAAGGAAGCGTATGGTGAGAGGGAAAACATGTGCATCATTTCAGATAGGAATGAGAGTATCATTAAATCTGTATCGAGAGTGTATCCAGCGGTACCACATTTTGCTTGTGTATGGCATCTATGGAACAACGTATATAAGAAATTTAAAAAGAGTTGTCACGACCCCAGTTCTCCCTCCATGAACTGTCGCGACGGCACCTAGTCTCTATGACTATATAAGCCTAACAATTTGCGGAAAAAGAATTAAAAGGTACGAAACTAGCAATTTACGAGTAATATAATAAAGAAGGTTATAATGCCGCTCGGCATATGTTGATACCCAATTTTTCCTTAAATATTATTATATACTCAAAATATTCTCAAATAGCATGTACATGCATATATAAGCATGCCCAAGAGTTTTGGTATTTTTTCCTTATTTTTTAAAGATTTTAAAATCAATTTATTGTCTATTTTAATAGTACAAAATTCAATAATTATTCCCAGACTAGCATTTTTGGTGAATAATTTATTTTCATTCTCATATTTACACCAAGATATAATTAAGTTAATTTTTTGCATATTTTTACACATTTGTTTGGTATATTTTAAGCCAAATTGCATATAATTACAATTATAGCCTATTTTACAATTAACAGCATTTTACAATTATAAAATCATTTTTAGTATTTTTAGATTAATATTTATACGTTATTAATTAAGTTCAGTACATTTAATTTGTTGTAAAATCTTTTTAACCATTTTATAAAATAATAAAAAAGGGGAAAATTGTCTATTTGATAAACAGCCCTTTATTATTTCAATTTTAGCCAATTTGGCCACACCTCTATCAGATTTAATTGACCTAATACCCAATTAAACTCACCCCAGCCCAATCCCTAATATAACCCGGACTAACCCCGATTTAATCTGAGCCGTTGATCAAGTAAGATCAACGGCCCAGATCTATTTTCCTTAATTAAATCTAACTACCCCCCCTCGACCCCTCAGTCTTCGAGACAGTCTCTCTCTCTACTTCGTCTCTTCCTCTCCCCCTTCTCTCTAGAACCTTCTGGTTCTTCTTCTCCGATGACCTCCACCATCTCTCCGGCCACCTCCAGCCTCACCTCTTTCGACCACCAGCCGCCATGAAACCCTATCTCGCTGATTCCCTCTATCCTTGAGACCCCAGAAGCCTCCGCCATACAAGTCAGTCACTGAAGCTTCGCCTGGTTTGTTTCCGGCCTTTCTCCGGCGAGTTTTGACTCGATGGTGTTCTAATCACCATGGTTCCTGAGTTTCACGGCCAGGTTACCTCTACTTCCTCTGTTTTCATAGGAAACCCTAACCTCGACCCAAGTCTCTCAAAAACCCATCTGTATTTTAACGATTTGTGACCCATTCCTTCATGTTTTGAACCTTTCTTTACTCGATCTTTACAAATAATCAAGTTTTAAACATCTTTGTCTCCTATTTGAAACTGGGGTTTCTTGACCTTGTTTTCAGAAAGGTTTCCTATAATTTTTAACGTCTCTACTGTGTTTAAGCTATTATCTCCTGATTTTATGTTATTTTAACGAGTATTGATGAAACCCTAGGTATTTTTGGTTGTTTCTTTGTTACTTGACTATGCGCCTATGTGTTCTCTGCAACTCCTACGTTGATTCATTGTTCCGACCTTTAACTCCTGCTGTTCTATGAGTACTTCTCCCTGTTAATCGCATGACTGCTATTTAAATGCTTGATGATTCCTACGGTTTGTTACTTGTTACTTGTATTGATCCTTTTGTGTATTAACTATGATACTTGCTTTAGAACTCTTTACTGATTCTGTGTGTTTTCCTTTAACTGTGCTACTTGCCTTAGAACTCTTTACTGATTTTGTGTATTTTCCTTTAACTGTGCTACTTGCCTTAACACTCTTACTGATTTTTAGAATAATACTCTGCCTTATTTTATATGCAAGCATGTCGCCAATTGATTCTTATTTTCCTTAATTCATATGTTCTGTACCTGGTCCTAATCACATGCCTTATTCTTTACTACTCTCTGTATGATTGAAATTAGTCTTTCAATTAGTTCTCTTTCCTTATTTGTCACTATGGTAGCCGTTTGAACTAAGACTCCCCAATTGAAGGGGAGTACTTACATTGATTGGGATTCTAATTGTATTTACTTCTATAATTATACTACACTTTACTTCTTACCTCATTTTTTCTACATGTTTCCAGAACTATAAATACTCTACTCTTTCATTAGCAAAACACAGACACACATCACTGAATACTCTCAATTCTACATTCTCTTGTGCTCTTTCTCTCTTGCTCTTTTGCTCTATTGCTGTTCTCTGCTCTTGCCTATTATTAGCCGGCTGTAAGCCAAGGCTAATATTGCGTTATCACTTTGTCTTTGCATCCTGCTCTTGCTCTCTTACTGGTATGTCCTAATTAATCTTCAAGTCTCCAATCAATATTTTTATTCTTGTTTCAGTTCATTATCTTCTTGATTTTCTTCTATTTACGCTTCTATTGCTCAACATGCTATTGATTCTTTTGTTTTAGTATTTTACCATGTCTTCTGATTTATATTCAAAGCCTGTAATATGACATTGTCTATCCCTAACTTCTACCCTATGCCTGTATCCTATTGCTGTACCTTATTATGCCTAAACTTTACCACTTCCTAACTCCCCTGATCCCTGGCACTTTATATGTCCTGCTTGATTTACAGGCTTCTAACTGATGTTTATCTTAACTGTTATAATTGTCCCCCCCCCCCCTGTTGCTGTCTAAGTATTATGTTTAAGTTTGACCATTTCTTGGTTCCCTGAATCTTCTGATTCTGTGTAGTCATGCTTCAGTAAATCTCTGTATCTCCTCTAGTATTATGTGATCTATTTGTTCCCTTTCCCCATGATCCTTGTATGCAATCCTATACTGTTGAACTGGTGCTTCTTTTTTAAAAACAAATCCCTTGTTTTTGAAAACTCTTTTAAACTACTTCTTCCTGCACTTCACACTACTCTTAGAGAATAGGTTCTGCCCCCTTCGTGTGAGCATTGCTTTGGGTACCTCTGAGTACTCACTGGACTTTGACACACAAGGCTGGTAATCCCACACTGCACATGTCCTGCATTCTTCTAAGTGTTTAGGTGCTGGTATTGGCCAGGGACCCAATGGGTCCCTAGGGAGCTTTGCCGCACCTAGACCATGGCAAAGGCTGTGAAACTCGAAGGAAGTGAGGTTGGAAGACTGTGCCTGATTGAAGGCTCCCTATAGAATAACTTCTTATTTTTTTATTTATTATTGTAATTCATATACTATTGGTTTGTAATAATTTGTAAATGAACGACTGGGGCTGAATAGTGAACATGGGGGAGGGGAATGCATGTTTATTTTAAGTAATGGGTAGAAAACTTGTTTATAGGTTTTATTTACCTATTTGCGCAATAGATAACCTGCTTAGGGCATGCATTTTCATGTGTTAGAAATCATGTTTTAGGTCATGCACTCTCAGTATGTTATTGTACTCACTTCGTAATATTAATCAATTAACAACATGCCAAATAAACTGTCATTACTGCATCGGCATGTTAGAAATCATGTTTTAGGTACTCCTATGTGCATTAGATATCCTGCCCTTAGGATTTCTTATTCGTTCGAATTACAGTGGTTAATTAACATGTTAGTCTAATAACTTTATGGCTAAGTGTTTGAAACGTTTCTGCAAATGCATTATCATGCGTACCTTAGAAAAATCAGAATCAAATATGCATGTCCATTCCTTAAAATAATCAGATAATGTATACGACGCCTAGGAAAACTTTAGGCCCAATAAGAATTGATTAATCGTGTTTAGGACCAACCAACTTCTTTTAATTTCGAACTCTGCCGCTCCCATTCTTGCTTTGATTCTCTGTAGTTCACTCTATTTTTTTTAAAAAAAACTCTGCTCCATCTGGAAACGATTTTGAAATGGTGCACCTATTTACTCTTACTGAGTTTCTGACTTTTATGTTCTCAAATCACTGGGTTACCAACCTCTGCCCAGAATCGTGTTATTTAACTTGTCCTGTACCTCATAAAATTACTGTTGCTACCTCATTTTTTAAAACCATGCTTTAACTGCTGTTACCTATTCCTTTGTAATAAAACTCCTATCTTTGAGACCTTGAATGTGTTTAAGACGTGCTAATTATGCGTTCATTTGAGGAGGGATTTGTGAGCCTTTATTTGATTTCGTATGTTCCCTTATGTGCAGTCCTATTTGTTATGTATGTCGCTTAGCATTTTTCCTTTAAACTTAAGGGTTCAGCCTAGTCCCTACCACATAGGAATAGTGGTCCTAAATACCCTCCAGGACTTATAGAACGGGACAGGTAATAGCACGCGGTAAGTATTCGTGACCAACACACGCGTTTAGTAACCTTTACAGGGTGGGAAGGGTAGAATATGGAGATGATGACCGATGCGCTAATATCTCATATAGCCCCTTTTCTAAGGAGCAATTATTGAGTATTACATTAATGATCCATATTAATCATGAACCTAGGACCCCTCTCCCTTTGTTTTCGTCTCTTCTTGTAAAACCATTCAAACCTTTTCGTAAATATCTGTCTTCCCTACTTACCTTCAAAGTCCTTTTAGCTTATTTGCAATGTTGTATATTTGAATCTTTGATTGTTTATTTGATTACATGAAGTCACAATATAGCATGGCCGGGAAGTACACTAGTGGATCTTGAGGGGTGCCTAACACCTTCCCCTCGAGATAATTTCTAGCCCTTACCCAAACTCTGGTTTTCCAACTCAAAAACCCTTAGTGTCCTAATGCACTTAATCATTAGGTGGCGACTCTTCAATTCCAAAAAAACCAAATCCCAAAAGGGAATAGAGTTGTCCTCCCAAATGTCGTAAACCCGATTTCGCGAGAAAAAGGGGGCGTCGACAGCATGGCGACTCTGCTGGGGATTATTCTTCAGGCTTTTACCATTTCATGCTATTTGTGACTTTATTACTTCTCTATTGCTTTCATTTAATGTCTTTGTTTCTCTTCTACTGCGAAACTGACTTGGCTCTTTGTTTTCTTTTCTTTAATGCCTTTACTACTTTCCTTCAATACTGTTGTAATTATGAGCAATCATTGTAATAATTCTTTTATGAATGTGCAAATACGTGACAATTTGTTTCATTCTTGTAACTGCATCTTCAACATCATATTCCACTCGTGCCAAACAAAATCCCATAGCAACGCTTATAATGAGTGGTTGCGCCCTTCCGATATTATTACCCCCTAAATTTGGTAAAGGCGTATTTGTGGTAAAACCAGTCGATCAACGGTGCAGTCGCGGTTCCGTGCCTTTCCCTCTTGAGTTGTCCGCTCAAGGGTACCGGTCTAATACCCCATAGAAACCTTACTTTGTTTTAACTGCGCATGCATCACTGTCAAACCTAGTCGAGTTAGTTATGCTTTCCACATAATGAATCTTTAAGATAGCCTTGTCCAAAGTCCACTGGGTTTCCTTGGAACCCAAACGAACACCACCATATTCTGTGCATTTATTTAGAGAACTAAATGTCGTTTATTCTAATTATTGGTTTAAATAGTCGAGTCCGGTGGGGTAAGGGTCTAACACTTTGTTTTGCAGAAAATGTGGCACGAAGTCCCCAGATTCGGTATGGTAACCAACATTCACCCAAGGTTGCTAAGCTGGTGGGAAGACCTTCACTCCAGTGACAAGACTCTCGTCCGCAAATATTTGGGGAATAATCCTTCTCTTTTGGAAATCCAGCCCGACAACAAAATCATAGAGGCTGCAACCTTATTCTGGGACAGTGATAGATCAGTGTTTCGCTTTGGGGACCTTGAAATGACCCCTTTGCTCGAAAAAATCGGAGGGTTAGCTGGTGTTCCTTGGGAGACTCCGGGTTTGCTTATGCCAGAAATCGCAGGGGTAGGGGTTTCCTCAAGATGATGGGACTGAAGAAAAACCCAGACTTGACATGTTTGAAGGACTCTTACATTCCTTTCGACTATCTGTACGAGAGGTACGGCCATAGCAAGTCCTACCGCACTTACCCAGACGAATTCGCCCTTACCTCATTGGGGCATACCCACAGAAGAGTCTTCGTCTTCATATTCTGCTTTTTGGGGGATGATAGTGTTTCCTATGAAGAAGGCTAGGATCCATACCAGACTAGCCATGGTCACCAAGACTCTAATGGAAGGAATCGGCGGGCAGCCTTTCAACATAGTACCAATGATTGTCGCGGAGATATACCGAGCCCTAGAAAAATGTCAGCAAGGGGCCAATCACTTTGAGGGTTGCAACTTACTACTCCAACTTTGGATCATGGAGCACCTCCAAAAGGGTAAATATCGGCAGGAGATCCTACGTAGGGACTGGGATGATCATATCGCCTTCCATCAGCCAAGGCGAATGAACTATATGCCCGACATATTCGCTCAACCAGAAGATGCTAAAGGATGGGTAGAGCTGTTTGAAAATCTGAAAGAAGACCAAGTGCAGTGGATGTTTGAATGGTTCCCTACTGAAGAGTTCATTGTTCGATCTCGGGATGCACCATTTCTTATTCTCATCGGCCTGAGAGGAACTTATCCTTATGTCCCTCTTCGATTCATGAGACAGGCAGGAAGGAAGCAGGTTATACCGAGGGTCGACAAAATGGGTCATTTCAGGACCGACTTTCAGGATGATGATATCCCTCATAAGTGCCAAGCTCAGCACATGTGGCACTGCAAAATCATATTGGGGAGAGATTCTATTGAGCCGGATAGATATCACGTCGGTTGTTCGCCATACTACTCAGGTTGGCTAGAGGATGATCATGATGGCTTGGGATAACCAGGGTTTGCTCGAGGTCACAGGATCGTCGATGAGAAGGTTGAGGAGCGGGTTAAGTACGACCAATTGCGTAAGAGGATTCGGGAGCACGAGAATGAGCATCAGGAAATTCAAGAAGCCCATCAAAAGTTGATCGAGGAATGGAAAGATATGGCTGTCAGTGCCAACAAACGACTAGGGTATTTGGAGCGAGGTTTGGTAGAATTGGAAAGGAAGTTCATCCAAAGGATCCAAAACTGCCAGAATGCCGGGGGAAGCGAATGGGGACATTTGGCTAGAGCTTACTTGCTGCTGGGATTGCCTGAGCTAGGGAAGCTGTTCGATGGAGCCAAAGATGCCGAGTCTAGGGAAGGTCCTTCTGGGACCAAGTAGTTAGGAGTCTTTCTTTTGCTTTAATGTAATAAGGCCCACAGCCATTAGTGACATTTTTATTTTTTCTGCTATTTTAGTGTCGTTTTGGGATTCGTCTTATTTTTATCAATAAAATGAGGCATTTAGCATTATAAGTTCTCCAAATCAACTTGTCGCTAGGCCTACCTCGGGCACAATGAGGCACCCAAATTAGGAAACGATTTATATTCTTGCACTATGTGTTTAAATATCGCAACGTTTTCTCCTCATAATCTTTACTAACTTGTTACCTTTTTGTTTTACTTTTTGTTTTATTCCCCTTCCCCAAAGGGTTAGTCCGTTGCACTCTGGCATCATCATACTCTACGAGATCCAAGGGCCCTCCACCTCCTCCTCCTCCAGGTCCTATCAGAAACAAGAACAAAGGGAAAATGGAAGACTCTGGTAACATCAGGAAGGAGAATTCGGTTGAAAGGGTAGAGACTTCCCCAGGGTATTCAGGTTTCTAAGGAAAGTGCCTCCCAGCT